TCTGAGACAGCTTCAAGCGTACCAACATCCGAATTATAGGGGTGCCAGAAGAAGAGAGAGAGCAAGATATTGAAAACCTATTTGAAGAAATAATGACAGAAAACTTCCCCTACTTGGTGAAAGAAATAGACTTCCAAGTCCAGGAAGCGCATAGAACCCCAAATAAAAGGAATCCAAAGAGGACCACACTAAGACACATCATAATTAAAATGCCAAGAGCAAAAGACAAAGAGAGAATCCTAAAAGCAGCAAGAGAAAGAAATTCAGTTACCTACAAGGGAGTACCCATATGAATGTCAGCTGATTTCTCAACAGAAACTTTGCAGGCCAGAAGGGAGTGGCAAGAAATATTCAAAGTGATGAATACCAAGAACCTACAACCAAGACTACTTTATCCAGCAAAGCTATCATTCAGAAGTGAAGGTCAGATAAAGAGCTTCACAGATAAGAAAAAGCTAAAGGAGTTCATCACCACCAAACCAATATTATATGAAATGCTGAAAGGTATCCTTTAAGAAGAGGAAGAAGAAGAAAAAGGTAAAGATACAAATTATGAACAACAAATACACATCTATCAACAAGTGAATCTAAAAATCAAGTGAATAAATAATCTGATGAACAGTATAAACTGGTGATTGTAATAGAATCAGGGACATAGAAAGGGAATGGACTGACTATTCTTGGGGGGGAAAGGGCTGTGGGGGGTGCGGGAAGAGATTGGACAATAATCGTGCACCTATGGATGAGGACAGTGGGTGGGGAGTGAGGGAGGAGGGTGGGGTGGGAACTGGGTGGAGGGGAGTTATGGTGGGAAAAAAGAGGAACCAATGTAATAATCTGAACAATAAAGATTTAATTTAAAATAAAATAAAACTTTTAGAAGAAAACATAGGAGTAAGTAATGGGTTCATAGATATGAAAACCAAAATACAAGGGACAAAAAAATAGAAAAATTGACTTCACCATAGTTAAAAACTTTGTACACCAAAGGACGCTATCAGGAATGTGAAAAGACACCCCACAGTATAGGAAAAATATTTGCAAATCATATATCTGATAAGATTCTAGTATCTACAATATATAAAGAACTCATAAGAAAAAGACAATCAACAAATGGGCAAAGGACTTGCATACATATTTCTAAAAAAAAGATATACAAAGAAGGTACATGACGATGCTCAAAATCATTAGTTATTAGGGAAATGCAAGTCAAAACCATAATGAGATATCAGTTCACACCCATTAGAATGGCTGGAATTTTTTTTAAAAAAGGGGGAAAAATATCTTGTATAGTCAAGGATGTGAAGAAATTGAACCCTCAACACATTGCTGATAGAAATATAAAATGGTGCAGCCACTATGAAAAACATTTTGAAGGCTTCTTAATTAATTAACATAGAATTACCATGTGATGCGGTAATTCCATTCTTAGATATAAACTCCAAAGAATTGAAAATAGGTGTGCAAATAAAAACTTAGACAAAAATATTCATAGCAACATTACTCTTAATAGCCAAATGGTGGAAACAACCTAATGTCCATAAATAAAAGAATGAATTTTTTAAAGTGTTATAATCCACATAATATTATTTAGCTACCAAAAGGAAGGAAATTCTGATGAATGCTACAACATGTACAAACCTTGAAAACATTATATTAGGTGAAAAAGCTAGACACAAAAGGCCACATATTGTAGGATTCCATTTATATGAGATGTCCACAATAGGCAAACCCACAGAAAGCAAATTGGTGATGCTGAGGCTGGGGGTAGGGAGAAATAGGGAGTGAATGCTTAATGGGTGTAGAGTTTTCTTTCTGGGGTGACAAAAATGTTTCAGAATTTGATAGAGGTGGTAGTTGCACAACGTTGTAAATGTACTAAATGCTGCTGAATTATACATGTTAAAAGAATCAATTTTATGTTATGTGAATTTTACCCCCCTTTTAAAAAAATGGAATAAAGTACTGATGCATAATACAATTGACTCTGAACAACATGGAGATTAAGGGTGCCTACAGCCCGTGAAGGACAAAGTCCATGTATAACTTAGGCTGGCCCTCCACATTCAAGGATTTCTGACCTCTAGTTGACTCTTGAACAACACAAATTTGAACTGCAAGGATCAACTGAACTTCGCACATCAAATAAACTTCGGGCAATTAAACTGAGCAGGGCCAATTTAACTGAATGAGTCAATTGAAAAAAAATCCACCTATCAGTGGACCAGCACAGTTAAAACCTGCCATGCTCAAGGGTCAACTGTATAATGTGGAAGAACGTCAAAAACATTATGCTAAGTGAAAGCAGCCAGATATAAAAGGGCACATGTTGCATGATTTTATTTATAAGAAATATTTGGAGTAGGCAAATACATAGAGGTGAAAAGCAAATTAGCAGTCATTAGGAAGGGTAGAGGAAGGAAAATGAGAGTGATTATTTAAAAGGTATGGGGTTTCCTTTTGGGGTGATGAAAGTCTGGAAATAAATAGTGGTGATGGTTGTATAATATTGTGAATGCACTTGATGCCATTGGTTAAAATGGTACATTTTATGTTATGAGCAGTTTATCATATTAAAAAATGCTTACCTCACACTATGGTTCTGAGTGATCAACACATCTCTAAAGGAATAGTGCTGAGCACAGTACCGAACACAGAGTGACCAAGGTTTATATCTGTACTAGAGGCCCATTGCACAAAACTTGTGCATAAGGGAGGGGGGGACCCTCAGCCGGGCCTGCACCCTCTCACAGTCCAGGACCCCTTGAGGGATGTCTGCCTGCCGGCTTAGGCCCGATCCCAGGGGTAGGGAATAAGCAGGCAGGCAGACATCCCTCTCACAATCCAGGATCCCTCGCTCCTTACCGCCTGCCTACTTGCTCTTTACCACTTGGCTCACTGCTCCTTAGCGACAGACTCCTTACCGCTCGGCTCACTGATCCTTAGCGCTGCTGCGGAGGCAGGAGAGGCTCCTGCCGCCACTGCTGTGCCATGAGCCGGGCTGCTGGCTGAGTGGTGCTCCCCCTGCGGAAGCGCACTGACCACCAGGGGGCAGCTCCTGTGTTGAGCATCTGCCCTTGGTGGTCAGTGCGCATCATAGCAACCAGTCGTTCTGCTGTAACTGTCACTTAGGCTTTTATTATATAGATATCAATGTGATGAGTTTATATCTTCATATGAAAAAGGACTTTGAGGGAAGTTTGGAGGGAAATCAACGACTAAGGCAGCAGTTCTCAACCTGTGGGTCGCGACCCCTTTGGCGGTTGAACAACCCTTTCACAGGGGTCCCCTAAGACTATCCTACATATCAGATATTTACATTATGATTCATAACAGTAGCAATATTACAGTTATGAAGTAGCAACGAAAATAATTTTATGTTTGGGTCACAACATGAGGAACTGTATTTAAAGGGCCAGAAGGTTGAGAACCACTGGACTAAGGGAAGAGATTCAGGGAAATGCTGACAACCCAAATGAAATGCATATTGGGATGGTTCTGGGGTTTGCCCATCAGGAGCTTTTTGGCATTTCAAGGGTAGAAATATTATTTCTACCTGAGAGCTTTTCCCAGTATCTCTGTGAAAATATAATCAATTGCTGAGCCTACTGTTCTGTGAAGCCATGAGAAGAGAGAAGTGTTTTCCAAACATTTTCTTTACTCAAGAGGGATCCAACAGCTGCATCATGTGTTTTAACCATTTGAACACAATAACAGAATTTCTCCTTCAAGATCACTGGGTCTAACTTCCTCATCTTATAATGGAGGGAAGTGAGGCCCGGAGAGATAAAGTGACTTGTGCACAGTCACCAAGAAGAACTAAGCCCCAAACCCAGACCTCCTGGGATTCCCAAATAGGAAACACATTAATTGCCAGGATGTGTTCATTGTTGGGGTATGAGTCAAGCATGCTAGTAGCGATGGCCTGCAGGTTTTGGGTGGTCCCACCCAGGTTGGGCTTGGGAATCTGGGACAGGTGAGAAAACATGGAGCCCAGCAGGCTGGTGTTGGGCCCTGATTGTAAACTAGTCCACCGTCTCTGGTCCCACCAATAACCTAATAACCTTCATGAGGAGCTCAGGGGGATGATCCTATCCAATGCAGTGTAAAGTTAGAAAAGGGGGGAGAGGGAAGCCCCATGACCCATAGGGAGCAGCAGCTACCCTGGAAGGAGTTTGCTGTGTTCAATATTACAGGGCACATTAGAAGCAGGGCTGAGCAGAGTGTGATGAATGGACTCATTTACAGTCATAGAAACAATACGATTCCTTTGACAGGGCACTTAAATTCTGAATTCCCAGTTCAGCGGAGAGGAGGCCCAATGAATTGAGGGGGGTGTTGCCAAGCAGGCCTGTCTGGGCAGCTTGTTTGACAGCTCAGAGAGCTGCCGTATTCTTCAAAGGTAGAGGACACAATGCCCAGTGGTTTTATCCATCCCCTTCCATATTCTCTATTTTGCTCTCTGTTGGAGGAAACAATCCTAAAAGGCATAAAACCGGTGCCAGAGAGAGGGCCCCAAATAGAGGTGAGGCAGCCCTGAATCCAGGCCTGGCTCTGCCACCAAATTCCTTTTGTGACATTGAATGACTCAGACTACCCATTCCTAAAATGAAGGGACAAGACTAAATAATGGCTTAGTGTCTCCCCTCTTTGACATCTTGTCCAACTCAGACTGCAAAACCTGGAATAAGTGTTTCGCCCTCTCTGAGTTCGGCCTTTCTGACAAATGGGTTGGGCATCTGTGGTCTGGTCAGGCTCTAGAACATGTTGGGGAGTGGGTAACAGGATCTCTACAAGAAACGTAGGGGTCCAAGGTGACTTCCCACCCAGATGTTCTCCAAAGGGAGTCCTCTCTGACCTAGAAATTACTCTTACGATCCTGTAGGACCTGTCACCAGGTTTCTTGGATTAACTGAAAAAACCAAAGTAAATACTCAGGCCCAGAAGTTCTCTAGGGCTAAGTTGCTGGGGACAAGGGGCAGCCCCATATAAAAGGATACTAAACGAAGGAAGACCCATCACAGAAGGTGTAATGCAACTTGATGTTCTTCTTGCCTCCTTTACACTCCTGAGACTGCTGAGTGAAGTGAGCATGGGAGGCGGAAGACTGGTGAGGAGTGGGAGTGGGAGTCTGAGTACCTTGAAGGTGAGGGTGATAGGAGCTCACGGTTGACCCCGAATGAATGGGCATCTTTGCCCCGTAGTTGCGTAACATCATGGGGCAGAAGACATTCTTCCCTTTCCACGAGGTCCTTTCGGCTTCTCTGCAGGGAAAACCAGCATTATCTTCTAAACACCTGGCTCTCACTCACCAGTGAGGTTCTCTATAGCCCCTCCCCCGCTCCTAGGACTCCCATCTCATTCCCTGTCCCAAAAGTACCTGTCACCACCTCTTACCCTCATCCTTAAGGTTAGTATTTTTAGGAAGAATTGGGAAGAGACTGGTGCAGCTCAGACCAGTCCTTCCCATCTTTAGCGCTAGGTAAGGACCAAGGAGTAGAACTGTGTGCTGAAGGGGAACCTGGGGGAGCTGGAGGCTTTGCTCACCCTCTAGTCCTGAGGTTACAGGGAAAGAGAGCTTCCTTCCAGAATGTAATAATAGGAGTAAAACTGAGTGGCTTCCTTTTATCCATGTTCTGTAGCTGTAGTAATATTCAATGGCCCAGGGAGCCCAAGGCATATATGGCTTAGAGGTGACTAAGTTTCAAGTCCTTTATCGCCCATAGTTTGGGCTTCAGAGAAATGTAGACTTGCCGAAACCGGTTTGGCTCAGTGGATAGAGCGTCGGCCTGCGGACTGAAAGGTCCCGGGTTCGATTCCGGTCAAGGGCATGTACTTGGGTTGCGGGCACATCCCCAGTAGGAGATGTGCAGGAGGCAGCTGATCGATGTTTCTCTCTCATCGATGTTTCTAACTCTCTATCTCTCTCCCTTCCTCTCTGTAAAAAATCAATAAAATATATTAAAAAAAAAAAGAAATGTAGACTTAACTTGCTAGGACTTGTTGGATCCATCTATAATAATAAAAGCGTAATATGCTAATTTGACCAGACGACCTTCTGTGAGGGAAGCCAGGGCTGTGAGGGAAGCTCGGGTCCTGGGTGCCTGCTGGCGGCTGGAGGGAAGCCCAGGTCCCGGGTGCCAGAGGGAAGCTGGTGCCAGCAGTCGGGGGAAGGAAGGCCTACTCTTGCATGAATTTAATGCATTGGGCCTCTAGTAATATCAAAAATATCATTAATCATCCATGTCAATTTTTTTGTTTGTTTTGAGAGATACTTCCTTTTTTTTTCTTTTTCTTTTTTGCAGAACTCTGACAAATTATGCTAAGAAAAAAACATTCAGGGCACAAAGGTTGTATACGCTAAGAAGTTCCGTAAAGGATATGGTATCACTGGTGAGAAGGCAAAGATCAATGCCTTGGGGTCAGGCCAACCAAGCTTTGGGACTTCAAGCAATGCCTCAGTTTCCCCACCCACAATATGGGCATCAATCCCATCTTCCTCATAAGGCCATACAAGGACTGAAAAGGATTGTGAGGAAGGACTGGGAACAAGTCATCACCCTGTCACTATTATTAGGGGTACTGGGTAGCTGACACTTCCCGGTACTCAGACACTTTTGTGATTTTCCTTTTATGCATACACAGATTATTGCCAGCCCTGCCCTCCTCTCTGATCTACCCCCAACTTCTAAAATGCTCACATATGACGACACATCTCTTGCAGCTTCTCCCGGGCCTCAGGACAGGGGTCACTGATCTCCACGTTGTCAGAGGCAGTTCCTGTTTCTCGTTGAGAGGGTGATGAGGTTATCTCTTCCAAATTTTTCATTTTTCCTATAGTTGTAAAAAGGTTAGGGACAGAGTTTTAGAAAATGGTTTCTCCTGGGGAAGAGTGGTGGGGTGGGGAGCAGGAGAACCACATCTCCTGAGAGTCAAAATAATCAAGAGAATCATTTATGCTTCCTGGGCACAGGTCACTGATAAAACAGATGTCACTCTGCAAGTCAACCAAGAGTGTGTGTGGAGCATACTTGTACAGAGTGATGAATCCAGCTATGCTTCCCCAAGGGCAGCTTGGTTGTAGGTGGGGGGCACATAGGTGTGCCTGCCATGGATGCCAATATGATTACCTTCTGATGTTTCTGATTAAACAAAGAAGTTTCAATTCCACCTCAATTGGCTTGAACACTTCTCTGATGTTGGCTAATCTCAGGCCTTCTGCAGAGGGTATTGTGGCTCCATTGAGAATTGGACTGTAATTTTTTTTTTAATATTGTGATAAAATTCACGTAACTTTACTATCTCATTTTTAAGTGTACAGTTCAGTGGTATTAAATACATTCACAGTTGCACAACTACCACCACTATCCATCTCTATAACTCTTTTCACCTTGTAAAATTAAAACTTTGTACCCATTAGACCAGTGGTTCTCAACCTTGGCTGCACATTAGAATCACCTGGGAATCTTTTTAAAATCCTGATTTCTGGGCCTCATCCTCCAGAAATTCTGTTTCTTTGTTACTAATGTTGTGGCCTCACCCCATAACAAAGAAACAGAATTTCCAAAGGATGAGGCCCAGAAATCAGGATTTTAAAAAGATATCGAATAGGCTACGATCGGCGGCGCGGAGCCGAGAGGAGTTAATAGAGGCAGGCTAACAAGTATAG